ACGAGCCTCATGCGCGTCACTGCCGGCGCGGACGGGACCCCATGAATGCTGCACCCGATCCAGTTGGTGCCTTACCCGGCTGAGGAGCGTGGAGGCTGCCTGCGCTTGACTGTAGAGCTGCGCTCCAAAACCTCTCCAGCATTAGGGCTCCCACACATCGCTGGCCGGGTGACAACGCCAGCTGCGCGCCAGGACGCCGGCAGTGCCTGGTTCTCATCGTTTCAGGTCACATAATAAGGTTTTTAGGCTGCTGTCGCTATGCTGACTGTAACCCTTTTACCCTGTCAGAATCAGTAGTGATGAAAACACTGATTTGCATTTTTTTTTTCTCCTTTTTCTCTTAGAATAAGGAAGTCTACCTATCTGCGATTACAGTTGTTAGCCAAGGAGGAATACAAACTCAGTCTCTTGATGAAGGAATCTTTACTAAAAGATAAAATAGCTCCCATTCTCTACCAGCCTCACTTGGAGGCGATGGACAGGCGGCTGCGGATTGTCCTCAAGGCTGTTAGTGACTGTATAGAAAAGGATGGTTATGACAATGTGGTTGAAAATGACTTTAACACTGATGTTAACACTGTTACGACCGAGAGGTAGTGAAATCGCAAGACTACGTTTTTACCAGCCAAGTAAAGAAGATTCAAAGAGGAAAAAAAAAAAAGTCTTGCAAAAGACTGTGTATGCCACTTCGTGAATTCAGTGAATTCAGAAATGAGATATAATTGTTCCCAAAGTAGGTAAAATGTAGACTCTGCAAAGGATTAGTTCATTAAGAAAAGTAAGTCTGATGTGATGCTTTTCATTAGTTCCTAAAGAGAGATTATGAAAAGATTGAGAAAATACTCAGATCACTGACAGACAACGGTCTGATAGCAAAACACCTCCTGTCCTTTTTGTATAGAAAGGAAGCCTTTACTTAATATTTTGTATTTATATATGGTATATCTATGAAACCCCAGACCTACCTACCAAATTTAACTGAGGGATGGCATAGTTTTGTGACTCACACTTTATTTGTGGTGACAGTCCACTTAGTATTTTGTGATAACCCTTTAAGTGCTCTAATCCACTGTATCTTATTTAAATCAAATGCTTTTTTTCCCCAGCTACTCAGCATTTAAAGGGTTAAGGCATTATGAACTTTTAAAGGCAAAAAATAATAATAATTATAATTATAATAATAAATACAGTGGTTACTGGAAGGGAATTTCACTAATTGTGCATTGACAGGAATACTTGAATGTTGGTTTTACAAAGTGATGTAAAATGACAAGTTGTACTATTTGTTCATAAGGAGGTGGCAGCTCTTATCTTTCTAGACTACCATAGCCGGGCTGCTACTTTTCAACTTTGCTTTTGATAGTTTTGTGTAAATATATACATATATGGGTAAAAAAGCTGCTTTCGGCAGCTCTAGGCTTACTTTTGCAGCATTTTTGTGGAATTGTTTGCAACGTGGTAAAAGTGCAATAAAGATATGGCAAAATGTGTAGCCAGTGTCTCTAAATGGATTCATTTTTCACTGGAAATCTTGTTCAGAGCAAAGCTGGGCACAGCAGCCAAGTATTCCAGCCAAGTGTTGTTTGAATTGTCATCCCCTTTTGTAGCAACAGCCGATGGAGCTAAAGCAGGGAATGGGTGATTAATATACATTACAGCTCCGATTAGGGCCATGGTGTTGAAAATGGCTAATCTTTCATACGAAAGCATTGTTTTGACTATCATTTCAGCATCCCTTCCTCTGGCAATTATGGCTGTAGAAACAAGCTGTAGAGCAACACCTCTAAAAGATTATGTCTTGACACGCTGCCCAGAGGATTTAGATACATCAGTTTCTCTGACTTGGGTAGCAAAAGCCCTTGCACAACCTGGAAAATCTCAGCCTAAATTATCTAGAAACATGGTTTTCTCAACCAAATAGTTCTGAATCATTTACAGCTGAGTTCATGTAATATGTGTGGCGACTTTCAGCCCAAAAGCAAGCTATAAATGAGAAAGTGGCTGTGTTAGACTCGTGAAAACATGGTGAGTACAGAAGGAATCCCTCATTGCTCTTTTGGGTGGAGGAGAGAATTTATTATGACAATATTCATCACAGCTATAATTCAAAGCTGTCATTTTTTTCATTTTGTCTCTTTCTTCTCAAGGATTTATAAACATGTACTTTAAGAGCTTGTAGCCAGATAGACTAAAGTGCAGGCATTTCAGCATATCAAAATTACAAATGAGAGAAAGACCTGCTATATCGTTTCGTTCACTTCTTAGGCTGATACCACTAAAAAAATTATGTCCTCTACTATTTCAATGCCCATTTCAAATTCCCATGACTCTTACATACATGGCATACAAAGACAACAAAATGTCTCAGATTATACATGTCCATGAACTTGGAAAATTCCTTTGTCACCCTGTGGCTTTTTTTCACCTTCAGAGCCACCTGTGGTAGCGAGGATGGTCTCCGTAATGCAGCAGTTGCACTGCCGCGCACGCTCGCTCTCTTCCCGTGAGCCAAAAAGCCCCAAACTTAGGACTTTTAAAAGGTGAAATGGGTGGTATTATCCTTGCTTTATCCTTAATGCCTGGCTGTGGTTTTCCTGCAGGTGCAGCTTTTTCTCGCGATGAGGTTGTGCCAGGACAGCAGACGGGCTATAAAATGGGCACAGCTCTGCTTTCTGCTTCTGGGGTCAGGTCAGCCAGCGGCTCTGGGTCTGCAAACCCGGCTTTCTTTTGGAAAGCAGCGCTTGGCAGCCTCTTCGCTCAGAGAGGAGCAGGTACAGCAAAGGTCTTTGTTCTTCAGAAGTTGGGTTGGAGGTCAGGAGCTCCTGGCAGGGTGGTTCAAGCTGAAGGTCTCTGCAGAAGGCTGCCTGGTGCTGCCAGGGATATGAACTCACTGTTATGAACCTGATTCTGAATTTCTATGAGCAGAATTAGTAGTGTTTCTATAGAATAATTAACTAAAGGTCACTCATTCTTGCCGTATTGCAACCAGCTCTGTAGGGCCTCCAGTTTCTTTCCTGAACTTTGATGCGTCGCCTTGCGAGCTCTGTGCTGCAGCTTTCCGGAGCTACAAAAATTCTTCTTGTTTCCGGTTCTAAATTAGACCGACAAAAAAGCTGAAGGGGAAACTCCTTCCTTGGGATGAGACATGCAGGCATCTTGGAAGAAGGCAGACACTAGCTAAGCGGCTGGGAGAGGTTTCCTCTCCCCTCTGCTCTCTGAGGAGACGCTGGGGTGAGTTAACCCCCCTGAGCCGCGCGAGCCGGAATGCACCGCAGCGTGCGCGGGCACCCACGGGCACCGGCTGAGTTCAGGCCCTTCGTGTGGCCTGAGGACACGGACTGCTCTGGGGTTATTTCAAGAAGTGGAAGGGCTGGTTAATTAAACTGTGGAATTGCTTCTTGGTATCTACCAGGAAGCTCTGTTGTGTTTGCATTCGAGCTGCCAGGTAGCTAGAGCTTTGACTCACATTAATTTTCTAGGCGTTTGGGAAGGGAAATAATTATTGCCTTGTTCCAATATTTCTTTTCTATGTGGGCGGGGGTGAGTGGGCGTGATAGACGGGAAACTGGAGCGGGGGAGCGAACCTGTGGTTCTGCCACAGCTCTTGGGGCTACCACAGCTGTGAGAGTAGCTCTGTACGGTCCGGGGAGGAGCAGACCTCCTCCCGTGGTGCATCTGCATTGCCCCAGCACGGAGCTAGCAGCTGGCCTGCACTTCTCCTGAAAACCTCATGGGTTTTGGGAAGTCTTTAGGGAAAGGGCGTTGACCTCCCGGAGCGAAATTTACCCTTGTGCAGGCGATGAGGCTGGCTGAGCCATCTCAGCAGGAGGTGCGATTTGAGGGTGCCTTTGCACAGGGACTCATGTTCTTGGGGCTTCTTGTGGGGGGACAGCACGGGGTGGCTGTGCAGAGGCCGCGCGCGTTGGCTCGGGCGGCAGCCGGTCACCGCGGTGCTCTGGAAGGGCTGTCGTTACGCGCTAGGTCAGTAAGCCATGAGCTGAGGAGGATTAGCGTGACACGCTGTAATGTCTCTGTAGGAGTCCTACATACCTACCAGACAAAAAGATTCACTCTAAGAAGATAAATAAATGTCAGAATCCAATTGGTTTCTCTCTGAATCTCAAAAACGGGTGTAGCAGCAGCACCTGGGCAATAACGTACCAAGAAATCTGCAGTAGTCTAACAGGTTCAGCACAATATAGGATGCACAATAAATAACAGATAAAAATAGATATTGTGCTTCTAAAAACACCTAATTACAACCGTATCTGACAGCCTAGAATACCTCGCTGTATTCTCCCGAGTAATTCAGATGAGAGCCTCGTTTTGCTGTTTTTCTGTTATTTAAGCATCAAAGGAAATGCACGCAAATTAAAAAAAAGCAGTACTGGGCAGAGCCCATGATGTATATGGAAGCTGCAAGCCTGAAGGAGACTGCAATGTAAGCAACAGCAAGAAGTGTTGCGTAGGATGAGAGAACCTGGGATTTCAGTTTGACTCTCGCCTTCAGACACTAAACTGAAAATGAACTTTTCTTATGTGGGCATTAAAGGGAGGAGTGTCCGAAGGGTATTCTGGTTCCTACTAGTGTGTCTGTACATGGTACCTATAGGTCTGAGGGGGACATCACGCTCTCTTCCATTGCAGCAACTGCATCCTCCTCTTAACACATCCAGCCGCCGCCTGAACGCTGTCCCGGCGTCAAGGCTTCTGTGGCCAAGGCTCAAGCTTCTTGAGTTTCCAGCTTGGAGCAGGACTTTCTCTCATTTGTAATTTTGATGTGCTGAAATGCCTTGATAATTTGCATCCTGGTGGAGCAGACTTTCTTTTAGTACTGAACGTGTGACCTCAGAATTCATTTTTCCAGAAATTATCCCAGATACTGGTTGTTTCTGTGGACTTTCTCGCCAATGGTTGTTTACTAAAATATTTGGGGGTCAGTATGCAGAAATGAACATGCACAAGGAAGATTCTTTTTAAACTGCAAATTGAGTGTTTGAAGGAAATGTTGAGTTGCCTGGGACATGTTTTCACATGGAATTTCAAGTTATTACCAGTTAGAAGCTGCTGGATTTCTTGAGAATTTTTTTATGCTAAAAGTGATTCATAGGTAGCCTCCAGCCATAACTCAGTCTGTGACCAGATCAAACTGAATTATCTGCTTGTTTCTACATTTCCATCAGTACTAATCCAATGCTTTTCAGGGCTGTCTAGAAAAAAATTCAAAGCAATTCAATTTTGTGGGTCAAAATACCTGAGAACTGAGGTCAGACCAGCTCTGGTCATGGGTGAAAATGAAGCATAAGCAAAAAGGAGGCTATTGCTTTGGCAGTACCAGTACCTCTTCCTCTAATGCAAGGTCAGAGCAGAAGTGTGTGTCTAGAGAAGCTGCTGGAACACATCCTATCTGCTGCTCCATCTTCTTAGAGATATTAAATACTTTCCAAGGTTTTCCATTTATGCAACTTTGATGTAGTTAACATCAAAGAAGTTGATGTTAAGAAGTTAATGTTAAGAAAAAGTTAATGTTAACAAAAAGAAGTCGATGTTAAGAAAAATACTTCCCCTTAAGAAGTAAGGGGATTTTGAGCACGATGAGGGGAATGCCTGTATTTCTATCCAAGCCACTACATTACTTACGTGCTGGGTGATCAGCTCCTG